TTGGGTGTGGGGGGGGGGGGGGGGGAGGTGTTTACAGAAGAAAATGTCTGTCATATCTCTGTCTTGGAAAATAACATGAATTTACCTAAAATAGCTGTTCTTTTTGCAGGAGTTTACGGTAGATCCAGAAAAAATACAGTTGTATTCTTTGTATCACTCACTCCATCATTACAAATATCACATATATCTAACATGTAAAGAAGAGGTAAGTATTGTTCTCTTTGAGATACTTTTACATTCATTAAGGGAATTTATTGAGGGAATTGAGTCCAACTAGAGGGACTGTTCTCTTCTTGGTAAATGAGTATGGATTGTGGCCTCCTATTTTAATTAATTCTTTATGGTAAAGGAAAGGGTATGCTGAGCACATATATTGCCCCTAACGGGTGCTGCTGACCAAAACATTCAGATGTGAGGCTTACAAGGTTTGTGTGAGATCAGTTTCCCTCAGGATAGGTAAGCATTCTTCACTGTTACCTGGAATAAACAAAACAAATTTTATCAATGTGTGTAACTCCTCTGATCTAGAAGCTACTTTTTGTCTTACAATGCACACTCCTTTATTTTTTTCTGCAAATCCTTGGTGGAAATATTCCAGGTAGCAGAAATATGCAGTTGAGCTCTGGCTCAGTTGTTAAAAAAATGCATTTTTGGGGATATTTTCCCTTTTTGTTGTTAAAGCTTAAAGGTTTTCTTCCAAAGAAGGTTCGTATTTAACCGCAGAATATTATAAAAACGAAAATTCTGAAATGCTGGCAGCCTAACATGTGTTTGTGTATGCATCTCTCTCTCTCTCTCTCTCCCCTCCCCCCTCTTTTTTAAAATAGATTTCTTCTGTTCAGAAGAAGAGTGCAGATCTAGGACAGGAAGAGATTGTGCAGCTGTGCATGAAAAATATAAAATGGGTGGAGGATCTTTTTGAAAAGTTTGGTGAACTTTTGAATCGTGTCCAGCAGAAATGCTCATAACAAAAATGTATCCCAAATCTCACATTTTTCTACGGCACTAACCTGGTGGAACAGAAAGCTCGGAGAGAGGCTCTGATTTCTTTTTACAATGCCAGACTGTGTTCTTGTTCATAGCCATTTTTATTTCTCTTTATGGAACTTTGTGCCTTGGCTCTTGCTAAGGAAAAGCGATGCTGCCAAGGAAATCAGTCCTTTGGAGATGGAGCTAAATGTAAGCCTAATCACATTTTTAACCTGAAGAATTATTTTCTATTTTGTAAACTATTGGATAACTTAGTTTTATTTTCAGAAATGTTTTTGACGAGTGATAAAGCATGCACTACATATACTTTTTTCTTTATTGCTAAAAAGATAACAACACTTAAAATACTACAGATTTTTCCATCCCTGACTGAGCGACAGAAAAGTCAGCGTTGAGGTGAACTAATTTTTACATGTCTGGCTACCAAATTTAAGAGTTTTGTACAGATTGTGAACAGAGCCGGAGTGACATCAGTTTCTGCATATGTACATTGCCATCATAAAATCCAGAAATGTCATTATGCTTTATGGACTCCTTTTACTATTGTCATGTTCAGGAGACTGAACATGGAGTTGGTGCAATCCTATGACTGCTTTTTGTGTCAAATTATATTGTAATGAAAGACAATGACCTTAACTATTTTCCCTGTTTTGAAGAAAAAAAGTATTTTCCTTTATACTGTGTTTTTTTTTCTTTTGGAAAAAAAACTTCAATTGTACATTTTATCTCACTAATAGTTGTATTTTTCACAGAGAAAATATTGTGGTTAAAATTGTTACATGTATCTTTGTAATACACTTTCCATTGTTTTCAGTAAATCCTATTCATTTATATGTTGATTCATATTGTAAACTATATATCTCGAGGTAACCCTTTTGTTTATACAGGTTTGCTTCAGTGTTAACCAGAATAATGCATACTAGACTAGTTTTGCTTTAAGTGTAGTTGTGTTAGACACTGCAATTATTTTCTGATACGTGAAAATAAATTTCTTACTAAACTAGCACTTGATTAGCTGGGAGTTTAAATGAAAAGCTACTACACTTTATCTTCGTCAACAAAGATTGATGATTGAATAGACTATATGCAGTGTTAAACACAGCTTACATAATTGTTTATAGAACTGGCAGTTGCAGAGCTGTTCTCTTTTTGGTGCCTTTCAAGTTTTCAGACATCTTTGTAGCTTTTTTTCCCCTCCAGTTTGTTAACAGTTAGTAGTGCCACTAGTCACACTCGGACAATGAATGTAATGGGCTCTAATCAGGAGAACCTTTTCTTTAAATTTGCCAACAGAATGCCTTACTGAGTCATTCAGAATGGATATGTCCTCTACTGGCATCCTAAAAAAATGGTCATGTTGGTCTTTTTTTCAGATAATATAGAAAAAAAATTCATTCCTTTGTCCTTTCACTGCCACTTAGTGCCTTAATTTCAGCCAAGAAAGCAGGGTTCATTACTCATTGGCCAAATGAAATAATGTTCATTGCCATGTGACCTTTTTTCCCATTATCTGTTTTGATTCTATTTAGTTGTTAAATATTCATTAGACCTTAGAACTATAAAGAGTTTAATGAATAGATGTGAAAATGAAATGATTTGATCTTGAGTAATCAAATAGAGGTTTGAATTTTAAAGTATGTACAGAATTTTAGCTGATTAGTTTTAGAACCTTGTAGGATGTTTACCATATTTCCAAAGCTTTTCATCTTTTAAGAGCAATAATTCTCCTTTACAGTTTGTATGCAGACTACAGTGAACAGAAATGGGTATATACCCTTGCCTTTTTTAAAGCCTCTTTGTAGTGGTTTTGCTTTAAAAAGGGAGGTCACCATCATGTTAATAGATGCATTGTGCTACTGCTATGTCTACTATAATCAAGGAGAGCGAGATGGGTTTGGGTTTAGGAAGAATGTGCAGGTTGTTGGAGCAATCGTGAAGCTAATTCATTTTCACGGTGAAAAGAAGGGTAGCCACAGGGTTGAAGAGTTGCTGTTGTTTCAGTTGTACTGTGTTGAATCTGGTAGGAGCTAGAGTTTATATGGCAAAACCAAACAGCAAAGTTACCAACATTGGTAGCAATCAGCTAAAATTATTTTAATGTAAATATGCGCACTGGAGATATAGTAGAAATGTGCCTGGTATACTCTTTAATCAATAGTGGGAGTTCCCAAATTTACTTAGTGTATTCCCTTATTGGTGGGGGTGGTTGGCAGTATTTGTAGATTCATGAGGGGTATTTACTTGCACAGGCAAAGTTCTGTTGTCACGTTAGTGGTATGCACAGCACAGTTTGGGAATTCCTAATATGTAGTTTGAAAAATTATTAGGATGCAGACTGAGGGAACAATCAAGTTGGCTCCTTGGTGGTATGGTAAAAAACTCGTCAGACTTTCTCTCTCACACATCCCTTCCTAATACGACTATGAAGCAACTAATTGAGAGAGGTCTCTCTGCTTTGTAAATTATTTCTATCCTGCTACTGTATACTTTAGATTTTTGAATCTAGAAGTAGCTTTAGGAAGCTGCTTGTTTTAATCCAAGTCCTTAGAAGCTGAAAAAAGAAATGAGAGGCATTTGGAGTAGCTTGTCCCTATTTAAAAAAAAAAAAAGGTAATATTAGCAACAACCATTTTAAAAAACCCAAACGAAACAAAAAACCAGCCAGGACGCTCTGCACTGCCATAGAAGGTGACCTGGCTTATTTTTGGCTGTTTTATTTCCAAGGCCAGTTAAACAAGCATTGTGCCTGTAGAAGACAGAAAAAACTTGTCTTGAATAAAAGTAACTGCCCAGGCTATTAAAGATTAATAGAATGGAGCTTCCGTCTTTGTCTTGGGCTGCAAAAATGGTGGCTGGATTATTAATTTACTAAATTAGAATAAGTAAAAACATGGAACTCTCAAGTGTGTTGAAGGATCATAAAGCTTTGTTAGTGGGATTGAAGAGGGTTTTTTTTATACTGAAGCAAACTTAAAAAAAAAGTCAATGTACAAATTACTTTTTTGCACAAATACTTTGTTTTGTCGCATTTTAGATAATTAATTCTGCACCCACACCTCAATCTTCTTTTTTCCCTCTCTCTTGAAGTAACAGTGAGGTCTTCATCCCTAACATCTGACAGTAGAAATTGAGCACTCATTTGGCTGCAAGAGAAGATGCACTAGGAAGGAACAAAACCCTCCTTACACTATGAATTAGCAAAACAGAAATTAAGCTAATTGCATGATGAATTACTTGGGTTTTAATTCTGCTATTTGTCCTTTAATATGGCAACCCTGTTTACATTGGGTTTGTTTTTATTGAAAATACAGTATTTCTCTTAAAGGCAGGTTTTCTTTGAGATGCTACTTCCAAAGTTTTACTAGCAAAAAATCAGAGACAAAATTGGATTGAGAAACTGTTTCTGAAAATGGCTAAGGACTGTAGGGTCTTTGAAGTTCTATGGCATGTGTTGTATTCATATATTGTCAAAATGAAATACTACTTTTTAAAAAGTCGGATCTTACAGGCTGTCTTCCAAGTAAATGATTTCCGTAGGGAAATATATTTTAAATATTATTTAAATATTTACTACTATTTAAAACAATTTTAAAACAGAAGAGTTAATACTATGGTCACAAAATGTCAGTGTGTCATCAACCATTTCTTATTTCGTTGCCAACGCTTGACATTTGGTCTTTCTTATGCTATTACATACCTGTGCATTACACAATGCACATTCTGCCATATCTTATTGTTTAAGCTAACATTAACATGTCATTGATAACAAATGCATGTTTTTCTGCATATCTCCTCTACATATTGCAAAAATGAAGCTAGGGCTAATTAAGAGACACTTTATGCGTTCTTAGTCCAGATTTTCAGGTGGTCCGTAATACAATGTATGGAAATGTGAAAAAGGACAGTTTTGTACCATTCATGATGTTATTAACTAAACCCATTAAAGTGAAAACACTTTTTAAACAAAAACCTTATAATGCTTAGTCATTCATTATTAAAATATTAAGTCTTGAAAAGTTAGATTGTTGGAAAAAAATTGGCAGTTTAGACTACATTTTCTGATCTCAATATGAATAAATACAGTTCTAGGGTTTGGTGTTTTGTTTTTGTTTTTTTCCATTATATTGCATGAATTGAGTATGTCTGGTTGATCTGTTTTTTTACATTTATGGGTTCTAAATGTTCTGAATTAATTTTCACAGTATATCTGCCAGGTCTTAAACTGATTTGATAAGTGAGGAGCCAGACAATTGGGGTAAGAGAGAGACTACTACTGTGATTCAGATGGTTTTTAGCTATACTATCTTCTTTTGTTCTCTTGCTAAACGAGAATATCATCTTTATGTACCTATGGGAAGAAATGGTGCTCTAGAGGGGTTTAGTCCTTCCCCCCCCACCCCGATTACAATGAATTACTCTGGGTATTCTTAGGAATATTTTTGCCACACATAGAGGGCTGAATTTCCATGACGTGGATATTGACCATAAGACACATAGTAGGCCTTCTCTGAGCCACTTGCTTGCAGAAAAAGGTGAATCTGAAAGGCTGGAAATTTTTTTTTAATGGTCCTGTGTGTAAGAGCTGCTTCCCAAACCAAGATGAGTGAAAATTATACATTTGCCCATGGAGTTGATTGTTGTTTTCTCAAAAAAACACTTTAGGAAGTGGGTAGGCACAGAGAATGTCCCATTGCAGTGTGGAGGCTGAAGCTTTTGATACTGCATTCCAGTTATAGGTTATAATTTACGAAGGTTTTTTTCTTTTTGAAAAGAAAGAAAAAGGCAAGAAACTGAATGTATGCAGCTTTTTAAAAGAGAACAGCAGCTCCTACTATCAGCAATTTGTTGGTAAGTATCGTAGGCGATCAAAATAACTTGTTCTGCATTCGGTATTTGCCTCTCCTGTAGAAAACCTAACAGATCTTTGCTTCATTTCCAGAAACTAAAGAACAGAAAACTGTCTTAAAATTCTTTTCATTTGATCTCTTATAAGAACACAGCAATAAATACAGAGACCAAGCTATTTATAAAGGAGAAAAGTAAAAGGTGAGTCAGGGAAAACAGCAAACAAACTTTTGCAGGGCTGTACTCTCTTTCATTTGTCCTGGGTACGTCTTACGTTTCTGCTTTTAAAAGTTCCACTGGGCTATTTCTTTTGGGTGTATGTTTAGTTTTGTTTTTTTAATTGTTGGTTTGTTTTCACTAGCTGATGCACAAAGGGTAGAGGAAAGTAGCAGTAACAGCAGTGCCCATGAGCAGGACTGAAGGACCAGTTAAGACCCTTTGTTTTAGGAAAAACAGACGCAGAATAAGGTGGGAGGGCTTGTATGTGTGAGATGGTTCACACTAGAGGTATCTTAAGGCAGCAGAGGAGTGGGAAGTTGGAAGAAACGTGTGGGTCAGATGTGAGAAGACATTGGAAAGGAAGAAGAATTTGGAAAGAATGAGGCTAGGGGAGCTTTTGGAGTGGAGGTAATTGAGGAGCAGAGGGTGTAGGAGTCGGGAATGGTCCTAGTTAGGAAATAGCTTCACTTAGGCATACTGCAACATATGCACTGACCAAAAAGCAAATGACAAGCCAGCAACATGATCTGATGGCAGGTGGACATTCCTAGCAGAGGGTGCCACCAGAGGGTTGTTAGCGTTTT